CTCCATTCCTACTTTGTGTAATGCTATCTTGACTAGAGTGGACTATATATGATATAAAAGCTTGTCCATGCGGGAGGCCATTGGTCTTACATAGTTGCAAAACTATTCCGACGACATTCCATCGACAGTCTATTGATACAATATTAAAATAGCAGAATTGAGGCCCAGGGCAGATTGTACCAGGAAAGTAGAATGTACGATGGCAGAGCGGTGAGTGGGACAAACATAAAGGCTGTTGAAAATGATGATAATGATTTAACACGGTGAATATTTATTAGAATGACAGGTCCTTAACAGGGATGGTAAAACACTCGTGCATCCAGTTCTCTATAGAGTAATTATAAGTAATTTACTTTTTATAAATAGCACTGTTCATCTGTTCATCGATTAGTGACGTATTGAATATGATTGGCGACTGCAGTTAAGTCAAAACGTTACAGCACTTTAATTTAGGACATATGTGCGTTGTCGCTAGACAAGCATAATAATATTTGCGCTGCGCATATTAACTCTATTACTACACATGAGCTCAGGCTCACTTACATAGGCTCCTATAATGTACACATTTTCATTAGCAGAGTGCATGAAGTAGCGCCTGTTGTGTAAGCATTTGATGATAGGTATGTTTTATGTGCTATTTTAGATTTTCAGGCGTCGTCAATATAAATAAAATAATACCCAAACGATTTACTTATGCAAGTTATTTAAACTAAAATATTGGATGATAATATAATGAAACTGTAGAGTTTCTGTTTAATAGTTTGATTAAACACGAATAGCAACGAATAAAACAAGCTCTGATAGTTAGTTAGTTCTTAGTATCAACTACTTTACCCACAATAATGTGTAAAGAAGCGATGGGCGATTATTATTAACCGTAATCGAATTATTCGATTGTTCAGTTCAGTAGTCGATAAAAGTCCATAACATTGTTTTGTGTAAAGTCATTTTATTATAATTTTTAGGGTTCCGTACCTCAAAAGGAAAACACGGCTCACTTTGTTGTCCGTCCATCCTGTCCATCAAGACCCTTTATCTCAAGAACACGTACAGGTATCGAGTTGAAATTAAGACCATGTACTCAGGTATACAGTCCCTTGAAGCTGTAAAATGCAAAATTCAAAAATGACGTAAGAAAAAGACACTGTCAAAGGAATCAAAATTCAGAGGGTACTTCCCGTTGACCTAGAACCATGAAATTTTCAAGTAACAAAAATTGAAAACTTTACATTTGTAATTTAATCATAAAAACATGTTGATAAAATCATTGCGGTGCAATTTCACTCATTAAACACAATTTAAGTAATTATAGGTTTTGGAAACTGATTGTCGGCAAAAGCTCGGAAAAACAGGGAGACTCGATTCTTGAACTATTTATAATATAACATACATCATAACTGTGACGTGAGATTGAAGTAATGCATTTGGCTTTATTTGTGACTTCATTGTGCTCACAAGGCCTGGATAATAATAATAACGTCTCGTGATAGATTAGTATCTAACGTACTGGGATAAAATATTATCAAGCTGATGAACGACTCTTCGCAATGTAATATGGAGTATTATGTGTAATGATTTATGGCCTTGTGTTAAATACTAATACAGTTATTGTCTGTACAATAATCGGCTAAACATGATTAATTTTGTTCGTTCGTTTTGTTTCATCGTTTTTCAAAGTTCTTTAGTTTAGTGATAGACTATGTTATATTACGAAACAGAAAAGTCCAAATACAATAAGTTTCACTAATTAGTAAGGTTATAAAAAAAATATTAAAAATTTCGGTGTATAAAATGTTCGCACCTGATAAACTTCGTTGCTGGTTTTTTCTAAGTAAATATGACCGCACACCCCTAAACTATTGGATGTTTCTTATAATATTAAGTGTTTTCAAGGTATTCAATTTACAATTTTGCACCCTTGTTTATTTTCTCAGCATGTTATGTTTAGCAAAAGGTACACTCACCCTAAAAAAATCATAGTTCCATTATAATGCACGCATTTTGACAAAATATTCTAATATACTAAGCTATTCCAATTACATATTAGAATAGGTCAAAACACTTCCAAAGCTCTCCTCCTAGTAGGAACCACTGACGTGCTTAGATAAACCGTGCCGTTTATTCATTTGGAGAGCAGCAGTTTTTTACCTTGTTAACAATAACCTATTTTAATATAATTTTACCTCTAAAATAATAAATTATTTTATACATACATATATCTTGAAACATAATTTATTGACCGTTACGTCCACTACACAGAAACTCAATTGTTTATAATTTTTTTTGGATTCAACGTTCAACAATAGAACACAGACACATTCAGCAAGATTTTCGAATCGTGCAAACAAATATTTATTACAATTTATGCACAATAAAAAGCTTTGCACATGTGCCATTTATTTCCATTCTCCGAGTCATAAAATTTATTTACCAAGTACTTTTTTTAAATGCCATTGCAAGTGAATGTATTAAACGTATTATTGCCGATCTTTATGATTGTATTGCCTTATTTATTTTTAAAAACCATTATATCGGAGAATGAAAGTTAAATTATCATATTAAAATATAACTAGCTGATCCGTGCATCTTGGTTTGCGTCTCTCAAAATGAACATATTTTTCATGGTTTTGCAACATTTTACATTGACGTTCGGCTCCTATTGATCGTAGCATGGTGTTTTATATATTATTGTCTTTCTCGATTAATGGGATATTCAGCACAATTTTTTTTTTAATTTGAACCAGTTGTTCCTGAGATTAGCGCGTTCAACCAAGCAAAGCATTATTATAGATAATGTAGAAAGAAGAATTTGATTTTTTTGTATGAAACTTCAAGTCTCTTTGAAAAACGTATTTGAATGTGATAGCATATATAATTCTTAAATAACATCTTAGAAACGGTTCTTAAGAACAATGACTATAAACGTGGATAACACCGTGGGGTATTAACAAACTGTTACCACTAAAGTAATTAAGCTCAGTATTTTCTGTTTATTAGTTGTATTTAATGATATTTATATACTAAAAATAGTGCCAGTGTAAAATTTCTTCCGTTAAAACAAATAATATATTATATGCTTTAAATTAAATTTTACGTCCCGACTTTAATTTTAGTTACCTACAGCCTACGGCGGGGCCGCACGCCGTCACGGAATGGGGTCCTCTGGTGGCAGATTAATTACTGCTGCTGTCCTCCCCAGAGTAGGGCGCTTGAGACCGGCTATCCGGGTGGGTTTTAGTAGAAACACCACACACTCCTGACTCCTGTTTAGTCCCCGAGGAGCCAGAGATATGAAGGAATTTACATCCCGTCAACAAAGAAAGAAAAGTACACACCCATAAATATGAGATTAATGAGATAAGTGCGTTTAACCAAACAAACATACTCTTCAGCTTTATAATATTAGTAAAGATTTGGACTCTTATAAAATAAAAGAATATTAAAGAAACGCTTTTGGGTTATGTTACGATTATTCTAAAGGTGCGTTATGGTCATATTACGTTTTGTGCACAGTGAACATACATTGTTTTATGACCGCCTCTAAAGTGTAAGACGTCTGAATCACTTTTAAAACATTGACCTGCTTTGCATTCAAAAGTTTTAATACTTTTCAAGTTACATATGTACCTACATAACCTTAAAATGCGAATAGTGATGTGGCGGTATCCACTAGTATCAAATGTGCTGCTAAAACAATCATAATTTTACATTAAATTTTTATAACATTTTTCGGACATCTAACATCAAACATCATCTAGTTTCAAACTAAGCACAGCTTGTTTTATGAAATCTAGATTGACTGATAGATTATATACCTTTTTTTAATACATACATATTATACATAGAAAACACCCAAACTCCGAAACAGATATGTCCAGATCATACAAACATTTGGTCCGACCTGGGAATCGAACCCAAGACCTCAGCACAGCAGTAGCATATGTAAACATGAATATTTATTGTTTCAGAGACTAAATTGCTATTACACTCACTTGTCTCGTGTCATGTTTCTCCCAAATAATTTAAGTTATGTTAACTAGAACTATTTATTTTCCTTCATCGTTTAAAGGGCCCACACTTCCCTGCAACAGCCAGTTCGAGATACAGGTATACCACCGTGACCAGCTCAAGGTATTGATACACTCGATAATTCACCAGTAAAAGCAAGAAAATTGCTTCCCCTTCCTATCTAATTTAGAGTATACTAAATTATTTCTAGCTAATCCTTAAACTCACATTTTGTGGACTTGTACTTTAGTCCCATTAAAATAATAGGGGCAAACGGGCACTTCAAGATTTGTCTCTTTTTTTCTTCTTCTAGAAAAAAATAATTAAGGCCACAAAATGTTTGCGTTTAAAGAATTTCGTTTACGAATTGTATTGTATCGTGTAATTATAATTATTAAGTTATCTCATCATTGTATTCGAAATGCACTGGAAATTAATTAATTATTTATATACACGAAATGACATGTGAAATTAGTAAGCAGAACTGACAACGTATGACATGGCGTTTGAAAGATATTCCTGTAATTAAATACATCGGAACAAACAAATTAAGTGCATTTTGAAATGAGAACGATCACACAATAAATACAAAAGCGCAGAAATAATGTTTGCCAGTGTCTTTAAAATTTAACGTCGACAGATAGCTGAAACCTGATAATTACTGATATATCTTCGATGTCTTTTTATTTAACTATTTTGGCGCGTGTCTTTATATTCTTCTTAATGCTAAAAAAAATAACTCTAAATGAAAACTGAATTGAAATAATTTAAAGACAGTTTTATGCGATAAATCATACAAATTGCTGTTGTTTTTGTTCCGTTATACAGTATTTGAGTGACAAACAATTGAGAAAGATTTTTGTTAGGTCAAACTTGATGTTCTGTCTTTTTACTCATGACAATGACATGTAAATAATTAAATTATACGTTTATACTCGTATTTATAAATGTGTTGTGATGACTTATCCACATTGATACCTTACCCAGCAAGGATGAAAAGGCTTAATAGTTTGTGGAGAAAATTAACTGCCAGTAAAGCTTTAGACCGATGTGGACCAATTGAAAGAAAATTCCTAGAAAGGGTCTACCGACATGCTTATATTATGGGTATGGTAAAAAATAATTTTAATTGACACAAAGTGTAGAAACAAGGCTATTGAACATTACAATTGTAATGGTGACTTTGTTTCATTGCTAGTTCATAATTTATAAGAGAACAATACGTGTAACAAGCTGTCTCTAGGTTTAATGCAATATCCGAAGAAAAACCACGACGTATAATCCGTAGGAGAACCAAGCACTGGCACGTATGGGCCGGATCGAGTCCTACCACGGCGTATCAGAAAACTAAAGTTAAGAAATTCCTTCGTTTCTTTTTGTCTAGTGGGTGATGTTCATCATCAACAGCCACAATGGTGTACTGCTGGACATAGACCTCTCCTTAGGAAGAAGGTATTCGCCTACTATACCACGCTGGCCAGACGAGTTGGTAAAGGGTTTGTTCAAGTTTTGTGAGGTTGAGGAGAGTTTGGTTACGGGAACCCAAAAAACCCTCCGCCCCCCATCATGATTCTGGGAAGGGGACTCAAAAGGCGGCTACGTATCTATGCCTTTTGAGTTGCTATCTGCAAATGGACTACAAATGGACACTTACCACAAGATGACCCGTTTGGTTGTTTTGCCCCTTCACTATAATAAACAATCTTACAGATGATGATAAGCAGAATAAGATAGGGATTAGTCAATTGATTATCATGTAATTTGAGATGCACCTTGTGGGGTACAGAATACGATTTTTGATTATTTTCAACTAGATCTAAGAATAGTGCCCTAGAGCAACCTGAATTAAATGACAATATTAATCACTATTCTATCACACTTCCTACTGCGCTTGGGACAACACTTTGGGTGAGCCACAAATTGTTGTTCTGAGTCTGGGTGTTCTTTGTGTCCTTTTCATGTATGTTTGTAAAGTACCCCGCGACACAAGATTTATTCCTAGAGCGGTAGTTGTCTTTTTGTAAAAAATGACAAGAAATAATGAAAATGACTATTATAAAAGCATAACCGTCTAATTATATATTATTATTATTATCTGCAGGCCTATCGTATTCGGACAACGGTAAAAGGTACAAGGTGTATAGTGCTTGTATCAGAGGTATATCAATCCTGGTGATTTGCTTGGAAATATGGCACGCTTGCACCAATAAAATGAACCTCGACCGGACGATAAGTATGATCAATGTCATCATTATACACCTATTAACGGCCTGGAAACTCGTGAACATGGTAAAATACTACAAATTTGTCATCGTTTGTTAATTTCACTAATATTATACATGCGATAGTCTGTGGGGATGGAAAGGTTCACAACGGTTGAACGCACCTGTATAAAATTTGGCCAAAATCTGTGTCAAATTATATGTGCTTACGCAACTGTGTCCACATGCGATTGTAGACTATAGTCTACTATCGCACGTGAGCTTTTTATCGAGCAAAAAATAATGGACAAAATCAATAATAATTGGAGCGAATAAAAGCTCATTTAAAATAATAAAGCAGTAGCTAGAATTTAAAAATGACTTTTTAACAAATTTACTGCGGGATCGCAGCCGAAATTGGTCTATTCTTCTCTATCATTTTCTTTTACTTATACCTTTGCATCACTTATAATATAATAGTATGACCTTAAAATATGTACATGCTCATCAAATTTTCATTCACTGACGACATTTTAGGCTCCTCTAATATGGATTTTGTGATGACGACCGGATGGCGTATTGGTTTGAATAACGGACTGCTATTCTAAAGGTCGCGGGTTCGAAGTCAAACATTTGTATGCATGAACTTTTAACGTTTGATTTGGTCTGGGTGTTTCTATGTATAATATGCATGTATTTACAAAAAAAGAATGTAAATTTATTTATATCAGTTGTCTAGTAGCCATAGTACAAGCTCTGCTTAGTTTGGGACATGATGGCGTTGTGTGAAAGTGGTAGAATATTATTAATATTATTATTTATTCTCTATACGCAATTTTCTCAGTAGGCACTAGGCTAAATTACTCGATGTATCTTGTATTGGCATGCATAACATAAATAAACGTGCTTTCATTATTTTACCCTTTAGCTTATTAATAAAGACACCTACATAAAGCTAGCCAAAGCATTGGAATCACCACACTTTGATATTTCTACGAGTAACAGAAAAAAAATTGTTGATCGATGGGCAAATACTCACAAAAGATATCTGTCTTTCCTGCTGTGCATTTCAGTCTGTACTTTGTTTTTTTGGTAAGTTTGAAGTATCAGTTATCATAGATACTTTATAAGCTTTTTAAATAAATATTTGTATGCAGTAAGATTTCACCATTCTTAATCACTGTTGCAGTAGTACTCGTTCATGACGGTATTAAATACTTGGTCCATCATTGCATTGGCGTAGTTGTTGTATAGTATAATAAGTATTTCTACAATGAAATATGTCATTATGTTTATTTATTATTATAGAATTCAAAAACCAAACTGATTTGATAGTGTTGTGTAACGAGTCCCAGTATTTAATGATACTTATTGTAAATATAATAGTAATTCTAAACGAATACCAGCACAGTAAAATGTTAACTTGCTTCTTACTTCTGAGATTATTAGAAGAGAAACATTATCCTCGTTAAATTTTGAAACATTTTCCTGTTATGTATGAAAAGTCGTTAGTTAGACGACACCGCGTTGTTGTCAATTTCAGAAAATATACTCTGTACTAACTTTAGTACTTCATGTGGGTGATTTACAACTTTGACTTTAAAAGTATATTACTTATATAAGTAAAACGTGGGTAGTTTATGTATGGAAGTTAACGGATATTAGAATACAGAATGAAAAAAGAAAAGATGGATAAACTGCGCAATAGAGGCTAGAAAATGAGTAATTACCTAAAATACCTAAATTAATTAAAATTAAGAAGTACCAACCCAAAATAAATTTTGAAAAGGGCAAGAAGATGATAATATTGTGCGTTTCTTTTCAAAAAGTGGTAATAGATTTAAGGCTAGAAAACTTAGTTACAAGAGATCAAATGCTGTCACAGGGATTTTAAAAATTGAAATGTTTTTAAAACTGGACTTTTTCATGTATCTATATAATTAGACAAAGTAATCTACTTAGTCAATTTAATTCTTATAGTTCTCATTATTATTATTAAATATTAAACTTCCTAATACTCGTAACGTCTGGTATACAGCTGTTGGTGAACCAGTTAAGTTAAAAGGTCTTCCCTTTTATTAAAAGAATACCCAGGGAAAATATTCGTTCACAAATCGATTAAGAAGATATGCTCAGTAAAAGTTAAAATAAGAAAAGTGATAACGTTAAAAACTAAAAAATATAGAGGAACTATTTTTTAATTGCATAAAAGCTTATAAAGTAAATGGAACTAATTACGTCGTGAAAATCGAAACCCTGTTTATAGTATTCTGGGCTAATTTAGTTTCTTCCGTATTCGTGATTGTGTATGATGTTGGCTTTGAATTATATTACATGATCGTAAATAAGGTTGCTTATGTATGGTGAAATCAAGATAAATAACCAATTCAAGAGAATAATATTTTATTCCAGTCATCGACGGTAGAATAAAACGATTAATAACTTTTCAGCTGTAAAAATTTCATCATCTACGTCAGTTTGGTATCAAATACGACTAAGCGTGACTAACGTATTTATATTAGACAGCCTTGAATAATAACTTACGAAAAGAACGTTAAGGGTTAAGAATAACAACCATTTTCAGGAAAAGAATCTGAGTTTTATTTCATAAGACTAGTATTTATTATTATTTCATTTTTATAAAAAAAAAAGAATTTGTTTTAAATGTTTTTGTTTCGAACCTTGTATTAGGAACACATTCCCGTTCATAGACGATGTGGAGTATAACTTGATGATAGAGATCCGTGTGCCTGTGGAATACAACAAAACCCTGCGTTACATAATCACCTACATCGTCATAGGGATCATGTTCAACATCGCCTCGTACCACGTTATCATGTCGGAGGTGATCATGCAAGCTTACCTGCTGCCCTTAATCTGTCAATACGCCGTACTAGCTAATTGTTTCGAGAATGTCTTCAATGATTGCGCTGAAAGTTTCAAAGGTAAGTTGGATAACCATAATTAGAGTTTTATTTTAATAACGGTTGTTACATAATTGTACTCGTGTTATAGTTAATACTTAACCACTTCAAACACTTAACCAAAATAAATAATTTTGTAGTGTCTTTTGTTATTTTTTTCTCGATCTTTTTATCTATCGACTTAATTAAAAAGTCGATTTTTAATTATTAATATATATTTTATTTTATACAAATTTATTGGACAGAAAACATTTTTCGAAACGAAAACGATTCTGGTAAGTCGTTGAAAGCTACGTTTAGCGAGAAAAGGGTATCGCAGTTATTACTTGTTTGTTTCCATTGCAGATGTCGACAGAAAGATGTTGATTGATAACAAATTATTTATTGATAAATACAAGAAGAGATTAGGTGACTTGGTGGGCCAACATTTGATGATATTGGAGTAAGACTTTTAAAACATGATTAATTTATTTATATAGTTTTTTTGCTTAAAGAATATTAATTATCTATTATTTAAGGAATCGCCAAAAACCAGGTAACACGATACTTTTAAATATTTTAGATATTCACAGCAGATATTAGAAATGATAGAAATGCACCTTGTATGAAATAAGAAACTGAAGGTTTAAAATGGCTATGACAACAAGTCAGTTCATGAGATCTATATTTTAGGCAGCAGATTTTAATATAATTATTGTACCCAACCAGATCTAGAGAAAACGTTCTTAACTATTTTATGTTAATTCTTTTGTTTTCATAATTGATTACATCTTAATATGTGCAGGCTTCCGTCAATAATAATTTTTTTAATCCTTAATTTGTAATGGTTTTTCTATATTGAAAAATCATTATATTGTTTCCACTATTCTAGACAAACTATGGAACTGAAGAGAATACTAAGCGCTCCAATGTTAGGACAATTGTGTGCAAGCGGAATGCTTATCTGTTTTATCGGATTTCAAACTAAAGCGGTAAGTACCTACTATGATCGACTTGACGGGTCATTGATCTAGTGTTTAGTGATCCTGATTGCTAATTTAGTAGTCGTGTTTTCGACTCCCACCCAGGACAATAATTATGTTATGAACACGAGCGTTTGTTCCATATCTGGCTGTAATTTATCTATAACCAGCTGTACTCCGCCACCTGCGATGTGGCACCTTAGTTAAACAATCTTAAATAGATAAAAACAATCTTCAAATTATTCAAGGTACTATTGGAATGCTGTTTTATTTATTACTATTTGACATAAGAAAAGATTTTATCACTGGATTTTGATAAATGCTAAGTACGTGGAGACCGCAATCTCAATGCCGTTGCAGCTTGACGTCAGGTAGAACCGGCTGGGCTATAACAGAAACCAACCAAAATTCCTTGCATATTGCAACATACGACAGAAAGAGAGAGAAACATAGCAAATTCTTTTCTTCTTCTTTTTCTTCTTTCGTCACGATGGCATTTGTCTGTTTTTATTTTGTTTTTTTACTGTACCATCCTATCATTTAAGACAAGTGAACTTTTAAGCCTATAAAACTACCTATTGCTTCAGTACTACCAGGATTTGCATGCTTGCAAACAGGAACATACCACAGCGATTATAAGTATAGTCAGTTGTTACTACAACTGTTTAAAGAATAGGCGACAAGGAGTCCTCCCTGTAACCTGTTCTTTAAAGTATTGAATATTTCTAAAATCTAAAATCAAGAAAATCCGAGAGTTTCAAATATTTTCTGCACTTTCAAATAATTTGTTATCTTTTCCCTTTTAAAAATCTGTGGATTAATACTCAAATTGGGTTTTCAACAGTGACGTCTTGTCAATAAATATGATCGCGCGTTTTAAAATAATGTATGTCAGTGAATAACCTCAGCAGGATGTTGTGACATACTCGTACACACGTACAATACATAATGTACGACTGTGACCGACGGATTTGTGAATGTAATTAGATTTACGGTAGATAACAGAATGCTATACATAATTAGGGACGACAATGAAGTGTTTACCGTAATGACCAAGACACATACACTTACTCGATAAAACAAAGAATTATAAATAAAAGTCAGGTCTTAATTGTTTGTGATTAGATGTTTAGATTACAGCTTAAGTTAATAGTTAATCTTATAATCTACTTCTATACCTAGTTTTCTTAGAAATACGAAATTGAAAAATAAGTTTAAAAACTAAAACTCTACTTTAACAATCTCGCTCAAAAAAGATACCTAATCATGTAAACATAAGTAGAATTTGTAAGTTTTGGTATAACGATCAACTTCGCGTTTTATAGTTAAGAATTTCATGTTTATTTTTATACCTATTAATTGAAGAGCGGTGTCTGCCTGTAAATATTTTTGTTGTTTTTTTGTGAGTAATATTATTATTTTTTATTTCCAGACAATGACGCAAAATCCTGGCAAGTTCATAATGTCGGTTGGATATTTAGCATACAACATGTTTACATTGTATCTGAATTGTCGATGGTGTGAAGAAATTACTTCGCAGGTACTTATTCTATACTTTTATCAACAACAACATAATATAATACAATAAATAATAGTTAAAAAATCCATAAAAAGCAGCTTCCAGAGATGGGTTCAAACCATTATTGCAAGGAGAAGGTTTTGAAAGTATAATATCTGTACATCGTTGTCTAGTCCACGTCGACCAGGGGTATCGTAGTCTCCAAAAGACTGAATGTGCCGATGTCTTTGCTTATATTTTTTAAAGTGATCTTAATCAATATAACGGTATAATACCTACACAAATGTTAATAAAATCAATGTATTTTCAGTCTATTTTCACAATTTAAAATATTTCAACTCAAAAATTCTAAGTTCATATTCCCCATTTGTGATTGTATATACTTCTGTGCTACTGAATTAAGCATTTAGTGAGTATTGTAACCTATTATTTCCCAAGTATGAAACAAGTATGAACCAAGTTAATGTAAAAAAAACGACATTTAAATTAGTGTACATTGATTCGTGGCCATTCAATCTATACTAACATTGTAAAGAAGTAAAGTTTGTGAGTTTCTATTTTCGGGGTAATCTCAGGAACTACTAGTTCGAATCGTTTTTTTTTTTAAATGTTTGATAGTCCGTTTATCAAGAAAGGATATAGGCTATAACATCATGCTACGACCAATAGAAGCCGAGTATTATTGAAAAATGTAGCGAAAACGGGGAAAAGTCAGCTAGCTAGTGTATTATAAATATATTACTATACAACTCGAGTAACTTAATTTGATAAGTACAAAATAAGAACGTTAATGGTTACAATTTATTTATTTTGCTTTTGTGTCTTTCCTTAACTTAATATTAAAGTTAATATATTCATTTCAATCGATTTTGGATACCACGTTTATCGATACCATCCTTTTATTTTATTCTTTTCCGATTATGATTCGGATTATTAACCTTCTACATTTGAAAATAAGACCGTCAATATAGGATAACCGGTTTTTTTTTTATTTCTTACGCAACCTTTTCATAGTAGTTATTCCTACATTTTAAAAACCACTTATAGTGACAAGGGCAACAGGTGTGAACTGAGAATACAAGTCTACTTAATACTAATATTTAGACATAAGATTGTACCCTACGTACATACAATCTAGATTGTAGTAACTCTTCCAAAGATTGCTACCACATAAATATTGCCGTTCTACTGCAATAAAAAATAAAACCAAAATATATTACAGAAGAATTAAATAAAATTACGTCGATCGCAACTACACAATAGAGTATAAATTGACAGCTCGCTATATTCAATGGGGTACTCCTCCAATGGATTAAAGGGCACAGTAACTCACACGGGAACGATGCCGCAGATGAGTTGGCAAGGAGGGGCTCGGCAACCCCAACCTCTGGCCCAACCCCACTCCTGCCCATATCGTTTAACCAAATACGATGCTGGGTCAGGCAACGGACCTGTGAAGCACACAACCGGAGGTGGAAAAACTCACCCGGCTGCAGACAGTCCAAACTGGTGCTGAATCAAGTCACGCCACGACTAACCTGCAGACTGATCAGTCTTAGCAGACCGGAAATCAAAATGGTTGTCGGAACTATTACAGGACATCTAGCCCTGAACCGACAACTATTCATAGTCAATGCGACGGACAGCCCCCTGTGCAGGGGGTGTCTGGAAGCTGAAGAAACGGCCGCCCACGTAGTCCTGGAATGCGAGGGAGTGGCCCCACAACGGGCAAATATCATTCCTGATATAAAGTCGCTCCTAGAAGCCTGTGAACGCCCCAGGAGGCTTCTGCGCTTCTGGAAGGAGCTTGGCTGGCTCACCTAGTCAACCAATCCCCGACGCATAAAGGACCACTCTGAGTCTAAATGCGGAAACCGAGGCCCACAACCAATACCAATACCAATACCAATAGAGTATAAATTGCAATTTAGATTGCATGGAAACCGTTACGCAACTGCCGTATAATGAATATTTGCAGTCTATTACGAATCGGATCACTATTCACTAGGGATTCTTTTGTATTTATCGATAGATGTACTGAGTTTAATCATAGATACATACGAAGAAAAAAATAATTTCCTTATATTTAATGCCGTAAATATCGGACGGCATTTTGCTAAATTGACTACAATTCGTTAAATTTGCATTTTAATAGAAATATGCTTTTATTTCGAAGTTTAACCGAAACGGATATAATTTATCATACTAACGTTGACATGACAATTGTTGATTTACCTAACATTTTTGTCAATAGTAAAGGGGTGAACGAAAATGATAGAAAGTGAGTGCCGCCACCCCATGGGTACCTGGAACCCCAAAGTCACAAGTGCATCACCGTCCTTTGAGTTGCCACTTTGGTTGTTAAAGTAATATGTAGAAAATTTTATTGGGCCCAAAGCAAAACATGATTGGTTTGCTAATAGATCTATAAATAAAATGTATTTCTTGATCATCAACCACAATAAGTTAGAGGGAACACTGGTGACAATCATTGGATCAGTACCAGAGTTACCTCTAAGTTTTAATTCGTTTAAAGTTAAAAGTATTTGACTGAAGTAAGTTTTATTCCAGTAAGTAGCTTTTTTTTACTTTATTAATATGTTGTAGAGCCAAGGTATTGGTAAGGCAGCGTACTGCTCCGGGTGGGAGGCAGGCGTATGTAAGTCTCCTGGAGTCAAAGCAACCATATTGACAGTGATTCTTAGAGCCAACAAACCTATGATATTTGTCGCCGGGGGAATGTACACGCTTTCATTATCGTCCTATACCAATGTACGTAAGTTTTAAAATAAGAAGTTCGATTCCCATCCAGGATAAATAATTGTGTGGTGAACATGACCATTTGATGTGTGTTTGGTTGTAATTTTATCTAACTATAACATTTTTATAAATATATAAGTATATTTGTTAACTTTCTGGTTTGGTTACTATAACAAGAATTTTTGCCTACTTTGGGATCAGATGGCCTCGTGTCAGATGTGTCAAGTTGCTGTTATTATTACTTCAATAACAATGTATAATTAGTCAAAAAAACACAAAACGTCTTACTTTATTGTTGACAACTTTATTATGTAAATAAAAATAAGTCTGTGTTCTTTTTCATTGCTTTGAATTACATTTATATTGCTTTACTTATTTGGGTTTTTATGTTGTTTTATATTTTCAGTTGGTGAAAGCATCGTACAGCGCATTAAATATTCTTCTTCGAATGAGTAATGACTAATGACCGAGGTTTAAAGAAAAAAATGTAGGATTTAGATATTTAGAAACCGCATTGTACTTGCTTTTCACCAGCTTATCAACAGATTTAAAAATATAGATTTAAGAAAATAAATTTGTATTTAACTCATTATGTATTTATATTTACGTATATACGAGTATGTGTTAAAATGGTGTTTCGTAATTATGTACTTATGTAATTTGTATATATATACATATATATATATATATTCGAGACGCAAGTGGAAATTAGATATAAAATAATAATATATTATTGTTTTATATCTATTTTTTCAGGCTACTTTTAACTGCGATAACCGACATACACGCGGTTGGAGCCGCGGGCAAAAGCTAGTAAATAAAAATAATAAACTCAGCAGTCCTTTTACTTTGAATTGTACAACACGGATAAACGTAACTATTTTATTTTTGTTTTGTAAACTACTATAGACTCTTTATATATAGAAATACCCAGAGCAATGTAAATAGCAGGAAGTCAAATGGTCGACCGCATCGTCACCTAGTAGATAAGTACTACTAATATGTACCCTCACTCAATGCATTTAGTTACTCACGTTTAGCTGATTAATAAAACTTATCCATATTAGGCGGAGGGCCTCGTCTAAAAGATAGCCAAAAAGAAATCAATCTCATTGTAATAACATAACCGAAGATTATATAGTTTTTTTTTTTTTTGAGATAAGTTAAAAATAAATACGAACAATGTAAGTAAGAGAGATTATATTTTAATAGACGATCGGTTCTACCTATCTATTGTGACTGGACATAGTGACATTCAATTTTCAGGAACTGAGTGAACGTAAGATGAGTAAGTGTGTATACAATATTTTTAAGATAACAAATATCCAAAAAAACAGGTTAAAAATAATGCCTTTTAAATTTATCCGACTTCTGACGGTCTATTAACATTACAATAGAGATTTACTAAATGCTGATCAATGATACTTAAATAAGACTTTCTGTGAATAGGTGAAATGGAGTTAATGAATGGTTAATACTTTCAGTGTGTAAAACTGTTCATTATAGTAGGATGACTGTGAAAGAAAACGGTACTCGTAGTAGTAACATTAGCTTGAGACTTTGAGTGCTGCTTAGAAGTAATCACGTTTAAGGAGAAAACTATTACATCTTGAAATAAAAACCTGTACAGCTAGGTATTTTATCAGCAGTTAAAAAGGCAAAGCAAACCTATACATTTGGAATTAAAGGTACATAAGATAATAAAACAAAACTATTTAAAATATAAAATTTATTTTAAATTTTTCTTACTTGTTCATTAGCTTGTCGGAAAACGACCAATTTATTGATCGATCTATTGATTTATTGATCGCCTAACATCTCGGTTTTCTGTGAGGCCGTGATATCGCCCAGAGGGCTGAGTGCAACTTTATTTCACATCGACTCATTCTCGACGGCGAGCGCGTTTAGAGTTGCGATTGGTGGAGATTTCAGAGGGCCGAGTGCAACTTTATTTCACATCGACTCGCTCTCGACGGTGAGCGCGTTTAGAGTTGCATTTGGAAGACATTTCAGTGCGGGCGAATTGTAGCAGTGCGCAGTCACCTTGACGATCGAGTAGAAGTGAAATAAACTCGCACTTGGGTCTCTGATCGAGCCGTCTAGTGGCCTAGATGTGTCAAAGCACGGCTCTACTTTAACTTTCCGATTTATCGAGATAAGCTGAAAAAGACAAGATCTAAAGTTTTGTTCACTTTGCTCAACATAGCTGCTGCTATAAAAACCGTTTATATTTACAGCACGGATAATCTAAAACCATAGAAATCCATACTAGTTTTATAAATGCGAAAGTGTGTCTGTCTGTATATCTGTTACCTTTTCACACTTAAACGGCTGAAACGATTTAGATAGAGGATACAGATATTTTGAGATATTTTGAGTACCGGGAAAGGACATAGGGTAGTTTTTATTTCAGAAATCACCCTTTAAGAGGGGGAAAAGGGAGGTGGAAGTTTGTATGGGAAATCAATAACAGCTGAACCGATTTTAATGAAATTTGGCATCTAGACTTTGATTCTTGAGAATAGACACAGCTTGAGAATAGATACTTTTTACCGAGATTACCGACATACACGTAGACGGAGCCGCGGGGAAAACCTTGTTAGTCCAGAAAACAACAATGTTTGAGAAACTCTATGACAACTCTTCAAATCTACAATCACATTTACTACCATAAAATCTGACTTCTACTACCACTACTTTAATATCAATGATTATAGGTATGAGGAAGTGCTGTATTAGGTTGCTCAATTTAAATAAAACAAATAAAAAATTATTTAATTCAAGAATATTGTGAGTTACTTAATATTAAAAAAAAAAAAATTATTTTTATTAAGAGCGATAAATATTTGGTTCGCAATTATATATCTACACTTTTCAATGTAATAGAAAAAGTAACGTAGTAAGTAAGTAAGAGAAGCATACGGTGGGAATGGTACTATGAGAAAATCCATGTGGTGAGCAAATAAATTATTATTATTATTTTTATAAATTATTACTATAAGGCCGTAACTAAGACTACTTTTCCTCTCAGAAAAACCCTCTAAAGTTATGTCCGGTCCGGGAATCGAACCCACTAAGGCAGCGCTTTTCAAATTCCACGCGAATAAAGTCGCGGGTACCATCTAGTCATACAAATAAACTTGTTACCATTTACTGATTCACACACACTCATGTACGCTTCTGATATGACGCTTTAGACTCCAGATCTCCTACAAATTACGAATTTCTTGACAAATGTAAAACATGATCTTATTTGTGGAGATGAAATAAACATTATCATTATTTATTTATTATTTATCAATTGTATCACGACTCCTGGGACTTATTATATAATATTCTAATTCAACCAGAAGGCCAATTATCATAATAAAAGTTCGGTCTCAATTCAGTTCCGATTTCCTCAACTTTCGATTTTCGATCAACTTTCGAGCAGTGAGCTGTCATAAAAGGTATTTTTGTAGTAAAGTATTAAATATCCAACGTTGATTGTAATGTGATTATAACGGATTGTAGCTGAAAATTGAATCGGTAATCTGCTAGTCTTAGTAATACTCTATTATTTTACTACGAAAATACCTTTTATGACAGTTGTGAGATCTAAAGTTGATTGGGACTGAATTGTGACCGAACTTTTATAAAGAGAATCAGCTTTTTGAAATAGCTCCTTGGTCCGTACTTTGTAATGTCATATATGTACATAAACCAGCTACTTTGGGGCCTAGTTAGTAGCTTTTAGTAGCTCGACACTGAATACTGAAAACGGCCACTTCGTGTGATACGAAAACCATCGTAATGAAATATTCAGGTTCACCACTTACGTTCGAAATTGCGATCGTCACCTCCTGCATAATTTATGAGTCTTCAAAGAGACATCTTACGGTAAAATACTCTTGAGGAGCATAATTAGTAGATAGATTGTTGTGGCTTCAGGCAGCGTAAAAATCATAGATGGTCACACATTAAAAAAAAACACTTAGATCATCTATTTTCATGGGCTTTGGAAGCCCCAGGTGCAGACGGTTGTCTTTTCGCGAATATTTTAGGCTTTTAGGTTACGTGCTAATTACGTGCCATTAATTTAAACAAGTTGTTTATCTTAATTATGGGTATCATAATTAGATCTTATATATTGTCTAGGCTTTTTGACAAATATAGGTCATCATTGCGATATTATTTCATGCTGTTTTTATTTTTTAAACTACTTTCTATTGATGTTTTATACATACATATATATTCGTAGTAGTAGTAGTAGATCTTGACGAGAGCCGATTGAAAGTCAGAATCTCCAGCCAACCTCTCCAGGGGGCAAGACGATATAACGCGAATGAATAAGCTTTATTGGCGAAATCCTCTCTTCTCATTTCACCTCGCTTCGCCTTTCCAACGCTCCATTCTATATGGGTTTTTTTGCCGGAATCTAAAAACCTATGAATTGAGCCCTAATGAAGATGGAAAAAATAGCATAGAAGAATGTATACAGCTTTGCAATGAAATTTTTTGTGAAGTTTATTTTTTAGTACTGTAGCAATAATAGTATTAATATCAATAGTTACCTTTTCTCCCACCTTGCGGAAATCCCCTCGGATACCACCTATCGGTGGCATGTCGGACTCGAACCGACTAAAACCGCACGCCGTCTCGGGTACTAATAGCCGGGGAACCAGGTATACCCTAGAAAGGAAGTCCCTGGTGCCCCGACATACCTCGGGCTATCTACAGACGAGTAGACGACCCCCCCCGTGTGGGAACCCCATATTCCCTTTGCTCCCTGGAAGCGAGCGCGCTTCGCAACGCGCTCGCCGCCACCCCGGCCTGCTTCTGCTAGGGTGACAGATGGCCTCACCTGTCACCCCCAGGCCTGCGCTTATGGAGGACGGCGGTCGTTCTGCGACCTCCGGCGCCTGAGTCGCCTGCGGTACCTGGCCCGTTCCCGGGCCTGGCGGGCCGGGAGAGTTCTAAACCTTTCCCGGTCCCGCGCCGCCGTCTCCTTCGCGAGCATAACTTGCTTGCAGAAGGTGACGGCAGAGTTCCACGCACTCTCGCTCCGCACAATAGCCGCAATCAGGCTATCGAGCGAGAGAACTCCCACTCCGATGGCCGCCACGAGGTCTCGCCTCTGCTCAACCCACGCCAGGCACTCTGCCAGCGTGTGGAGAGCCGTGTCCACGGTCTGGCCATCGCAGTGGTGGCACTCAAGCGTTGGCTCCTTGCGGATCAAACACAGGTGATCCCGAAACATCCTTTCCCAGTGATCACCTGCGTCAGTCGGTATGAGAGGGTCCCGTTACGCCTCTCGAGCCAATCCTCCATAACGGGTCTTACCGCCGCGACGATGGCGTGCCCGGCGCTCGGTTACCCAAGTCGTTCCCTCCACTCCCCTATGATGACCTGGCGGAGTTGGGATTTCCGGTCATCGATTTCTCGAATCTCGGGACACCGACCCAACTCCCGCGCCTCCTTGCG